GTTTCATAAGTTTCGACAAATTCTATTTATAACAGGTATTTGCATAAAGAAATCCAGAGGGGTCATTAATGATCAAAGCGTTCATCGTTTTCCTTCACAATTCCTCATTAGAGTAAAAAGTTCTCAAAATACTTCTTTCCTTCTTCTTTCTTTCTTTCCTTCCTTCCTTCATTTCAGAAGATACGAGTAACAATCACGCAATGAAATAAAGAAATTTTATATGCAACCTTAAAAGCAACATCTCCTACTTACAAAATCTGACTTTTAACAGAGAAAAAAGTAAAATGAGAAGGAAACATGAACAAGATTCCAAGAAAATAATAGGAACGGCAGTACGATTTCAATAATCACGGGATTCTAAAGGGAAATTTATAGAGATTCACATAAAAGTTAACAATTTACGTGCACACCAAACGTCATATCAGTGGCTGACTTGTTTTCTGAAACACGCGGCTCTAAATTTCTTCTTAGGCCTACATGTGGGTGCAACGTTCTTAACAGTTCTATAAGTTTTGTTCTTCCGTCTGTCTAGCACGGACGTAATTTTTCGAGGAGATTGAAGACGGATGAGTATACTTGGTGTCACGCCTAACAAAGGGCATTGCTGTCGGCTGTTCTGAGCCTCAGTTACTTCAGCAGAAGTACAATTTAAGATTAACAGAAACATGGCACAGATCGTAAATCGTCTGGCCAGATCAGGATTTGGGAACTTTGTATTTGCCTAGCTCTAGGTCGTTGCATGCGGTAAGAAGCAGCGGGAAACGAATCAGAACGACGTTTCGGTTGAATTACTGTAACCAGAATTACGTAGGTGTAATTCAGAAATTCCATTTCACAATAAATTTGAGGTGATGCTCACCCCTCTCTAAAATCAATACAGTAGCCAGCTGACCGAAATACACCTGCCACAACTCATTCCCAACGTACCACTAGAATCGCAGCTATTTTGCGATAATGCCCATTATTAAAATTTGTGTCTTTAACACTAATTATTTAAGATGTATTTACGTTCCTAATGTCGAGGTTGGTCTTCTGGGTTGTAACGCCGTCTGGAATTGTAGGTAGATTCCAATGTTTCGGAGAAAGGAAATGTAATCTAAATGGGCTGATAGAGTATTTATTCGAATCCATTTAGGATGTCTGAGAATATGACGATGGGGAGAATCTTTGGATCTAAGTGGAATGACAGAAGCGGGGAAAAACTGCATAATGAGCAGCTCTAAAATTTATACACGTCTCCAAATATTATTAAGATGATGAAATCATCTACATCACATGGCTGGAAGATGTATCACGAATGGGAAGATATTTAAATATTTAAATGGACATCCTGTACGGAAGAGATCACTCACAAAAACAGAAACAGGATGGGACGATTTGAATTGGATTAATCTGGCTCAAGATAGAGATAGTTCGTGATCTCTTGTGAACACGGTAATTGTAACTTCTGGTTCCATAAAGGAAGAACAGTTTCTTGAGTAGTTAAACGACCATCAGGTCCTGAAGGACTTCGTTCTGCGGAGTTAATTAGTTTCATTTACTGCTCAGTTCCTTCGCTCCGCTCACTGATCAACCTGGGTTTTCTTTCGTTTGTTTCTGATTAGAGTGGCTACGTGAGGCAGTGGACTAGTATCTCGTAATTTACTGGAATTCATGGACACTGCCCATTAGTGTACTAATTTTGAATAATGACTTTTTAACAACTCAGCAGCAGCAGCAGCAGCAGAATATTAATTTCAACGGATTATAATTTATTCTTCACCAGTTCGCTTGCCAAATTAGGGCATTTATTTGGAATTAATACAATAAATACCTTGCTTAAAAATAGCGTGTGTGAACGTTTTAACTAGACATTTTCTGTCAAGGTTAAATCACATGCAGAAATATTTATTGGGGATAATCAGCGTAGTTTATTACAAAATGGATCAACCTACGAAAATATATTCTAAGTTTCTCAGATTTTAGAAGAAACGTGAGTGCAGTGGTAGAATGCGTTAACTGTTTATAGACACAAAGAAAGCCAGTGCGAAAAATACATCCCGTTCCCTATTTTGCCCTTCATATGCAAGAAAGGCTATTCCAGGTGGCAACAGGTTGATTTTATAATATTTAACGATGCTGCTTCAGACCGTAGAAGTTATATTGCCCAATGTGATAGAAATATTTTCATGAAGTTCGGTGAGAAATGCAACAGCTATTAATACGGCAGGGACCTGGCGATGTAAAGGAACAGAACACTCTAGAAATTTAATGTGCTTCTGCTATCGTGAGTGGTCTTTTTATTGTAAGGTCACGGCTTTATACTGCTTTTGTCTTTACTGTAAAATTTTATTTCAAGCTCTATGCATACGCAGTTTCCACAGTCTTCTATAATATGAGGGTCGTCTTAATCGATATTTACAAATCCTGACACAACACCCGACACGTCAAGTCGACAGGTTCGATATTTCAAAATGGCATAAAGCAGACATGACAATTGGTGACATGTAGAAATATAAATAAAACGAATTTCCTGGGGAATTATTTATATCACGATAAAAATACCAACTGGGATAAGAAAGAAACAACTGAAAAAATCCACAGAAATATGGTGACAACTTTATAATTTTTGACTTCACAAGAGCCTCAGAATCAATCTCTGTGTTTAAAAAGTAGTTTCCTAACGAAGATATTAGGCCTGTATGTATCGCACTTACACTGAGATACCGTGTGGACTGATGATGGTAATATTTATTCTTGTTTCTAATCTAAGTACTACCGAATAAATGTAAATTACAATATGACTGTAGCCTCTATATTTCTACCAGATTACACGGCGCAACATCAACCCCCCCCCCAAAAAAAAGTTATCTTCACGAGTAATTTAATTTGGGTCACAATATTTCGGAATCCTGCGAGGGGTAATGATGGACAAAAAAATCAGTTTTGCACTGCACGCAGTACAGTGCTGATAATGAAACTGGAGCCATACTCACTATCTGGGTGATGCGTCGTGAGTCTGGTTGATAAGAGATGGCAGAGACTGTACTGATTGGCTGCATAAGTCCGACAAATCTGAAAGAACAGAAAAAACACGTGACCAACCGAAGAGCACCTTCAAATCAAGGAAAATAATTAAATTGACGACCTACCCCGATCCATATCAACTTGCATCTCAAATGTTCTTCGTGTGCAACGTAACAACCTACAGCCGAACAATTTTTTTATTTATCTCCAATAAAAGAGCGTGTAAACTACAATCCGCGGGTCGAAAGCGTCTGTTGGAATTAGTTCAAGAGCATTTTCTTTGGACAACGTCTATTTACTTATTGGTGGTTCATTTAGGAAGTAGCAGATTTTACTATAAACTGTGAAACGACTAGTAATAAACAATGACTAGCTAGGGTATAGAAGGAAGCGGTTGTGGCCTAATTTAAGGTACTAAACCGGCATTGCCTGAAAGAACGAGAGTCAGGATAGCCGGTCTCCTGGTCAATGTTTAAACTCGGGACCTTCCGCTTAGGAAGCGGGATTACTAACCACTCGACAGCGATTCTCATGGAAAACTAAAGTGAAGAGTGTGGATTGTATTCATCCGGGTTTGGTCAATAGAAGGTGGAGACTCCGATTCATGGAGTTAACACAGGACTATGGCTAGGAGTCATGTTTGAGAGGAACCTATGGTTAAAAAATGGAATATTCTGTTTTCAGGTCTAAAAATAAAGAGAATTAATAACAACGTCACAGAAACCATAAATGTAAAAAATTCTAATATACGTATACAATATATTATCCTCCAGTCTATGCCTTTGTCCCCAAAGTTTCATCGTACTATGCAGTGTCCGCTGCCAACAAAAGCAGCGTGGCGATTTAACGAACTCTAGCATTGCGTGTATGCGACGTAGCAAGCCTTGGCTCGGACGGAAAAGTAACGCTGTCGCCAGCTCTTCATTTGAGCTTAAAACGTCGAAGAATACAGTTTTGAAACACTTTGTCAGGAACACTTCGGTATCAAAAAGTGCTCGTACGAGAGATAACAAAATCACGACTCTGTAAGACACTTACCTAAGTCGAGGTTGAGATAGGGGTCGTGGCACAAGGTGGTAGATCCATACCGAGACCCACTGTGAGATGCCGCTCTCTTGAAGTGCCCGAAAAGTCCCTGCAATAATATACATATTGGTTATAGCAACATCATCGGAATGTATGAGAATAAGTAATATTCTGCATTACGACTTCCGTAATAATTACTGCAATACACAAATTTTCATGATGCAGTTGTTAACACTTTTGATTTGTACTCGGGATTTTACAGATTTTTTTTCCATCGCATAATTTCTGTTGCTTGTGTATTTTTAATCAACGCAGTCTAGGAACTAATAAATTGTATTATAGACACATCTTTTTTACACTGGAAACCGTATTCCTATGTGAATAGTAATTTTAAATGTAAAAAAGAAACAATTAGGTTTATATAGTTTTATTTAAATTTACGACTAAATAAAATGTTCCGATGAATAAAATTGACTCTGTATGTAAGCAACGTACTCTGCGACCAAGTACCCAGAATTTAGTTCTAGTCCAAATGATAAGACGCGCCTTATATCCTGTTTCAAGGCGAGTAATACAAAAGTGATGATAATTACTTGTACCCAAAACATGTTACATGTTTCATATCACATGTAACTCACAATACAAATTGTAAAGTTATTGATATAAATACTAATTTTTCTGTGTATTGACTGGAATTCTGTCTACGTAAACGGGAGTTCGCCATTTCGAATTTCGACAGGGAAATAGCTAACAACTGATTTTTTGCAATTCTCGCCTTTTCTTCCAGGAAAACGTCGACGTTTCCACGCATCTGACTGGGTTAATAAATAAATAAACAATACAAAATAATATTCTAACACGATTAAAACACCATATATGAGTACAGTTACCTACATCCATGTAGTGGTATTTCATGAGACACTCAAGTAGTTAAACTGAGAAAATTCCTAGCCTTTTATGAAACACAAAGTTCATTTCCATGTTCACAGAAGTTTGCTTCTGGACATTATTCCATGCCAGATTAATCAATCACATACTCTTGTATCTTATTTATTTTTTAATATTATTCTCCAATCTAAGCATTAGCATCCCAAGTAAGTGCATCTCTTAAAACTTTATAACACAATAACTACATGGACGTTTTATGACTTATCGCAGGCTTCATGCCGCGTTCATCTCATTTCCCGAAACGTGATTACCTCAATAACAGACATATTTTACGGCACACCACTATATAAATGTGATCAGAAGCCACTGATGATCCTTAGGTAATTCTTGCACTAATGTTGTGCCAAGGTCTCGTTGTTGCTGTAAATGCGATTAACACACATGGACGGGCCCATAAAGTGTTTTTCACTCATGCTAGAGCGTAAAGAACACAGTACAGTTCCTACAATTTTCTTTATAAAAAAGGTTAGCCTTGAGGGAGAAAGCCAATCTAAAAACACACAAAAGGTAATTTCATACCCCAAAGAAAACAAAACGCTTGTCCACTAAAAAATTATCGCTATTATTCTGAGAATCGAACTAAACCCTCACATATTCTGTGGGCAAAACGTATAGTTGCTGAATGTTAAATATGGTGGTACATATAGTTACCCCTTTGTTTCAAAGTGTTAAATGGTTAAAAATTAGCCTTCAACTTATCAAAAACAGTACCTATGTTCTAATAAATTGCGCTTCGAAAATTAACGTGCTTTGCTCATGCATTAGCTGAAACACGTCATTCACCGTTCCATCAAGAGTGTTTCGGAGGAGCATCTTAATCTGCGGGCACCGTCAATGACTAATCGGAGCTGCTGAAACGAAGTAGCAGCACGTGTAAACTGATAGCCTTATCGGAACAGATAACAGGGAGATCGCAGCTTCTGACCAAGTTATTATCCAGGCCTACCACGTTTAGCCATTTACACACAAAGTAGAATTTCAGTTGTGAGTTGGTCGCAGCATTTCACCAAACTCCAAATATCGTTTAACGCCCTCAGTTAAAAACTGATGGCATGGTGATACTCGCGTTTTCGCTAGAATATGGTCTCAGACCTTTGCAAATGACGCCAGTGACGTCAGAGTTGTCTGAGGCACAATGATGACCTTTGGTCGGCGGGATGTCGGACTGGTTGATGATATCACGAAGAATTCCTCCTATCGAGATATGCACAGTAATCAGAGTAAACTAGCTTACCGTGGTAAACATGTTAAATGTCTGTTATACTGAGGTTAGCTCTAAAAGGTATTCTTACTCTTACAAGAAGCGGTATTCAAAACTGTCCGATTTAAGTTACAATAAGAAAAAAACCGACAACTTTTTGAGGATTCTATAATAACAAATTTAATCGAAATCGATAAATTCATTCTCGAGGCGTTCCATGCGCACGAACAGACAAGCAAATAACGAACAGAGAAACTTCAAAAGGTGTTGCCTGAACGAAGATGTAAATCCTATACATTTTATTTACTAATACATTAAATATTTAGACCATACAGCGTCGAATGATAAAATTCAGTTTATAATGAACTTGCTGCAGTATGAAGGAAGCTGTCGTGCTTACATTAAAGATGCTACCCGAGAAATTGACTGGGAAGAACTGAGAAAAACGCGATAAAAACTAGTTCAAGTTAGGTGATATCTGGGTCGAGATTAGAACCAGTGACCTCCAGAAAACGAAGCAGTTTTGTAGACCATTCGACGGCATAGTTGGAACCAGAGTTTTTTGTCCGGAAGACTTAACTCCGTATGTGCTAACATCGTACGGCCACCCTGTAAGCATATTCTTCTTCGTGTTAATATCTGAAGTTTAATTTTATAATGAAACTGCCCTGAAAATATAAACAACAACAACAATTAATTTAACAGATGAGAAGGCTTTGCGTAGTTTCCATCACAAGTAACTGAATGATGAAACGCATTAAGAACAAAAAACACGGCGATGCAATGACCACAAGTGATCTTTATTACAGAACTCGTTCTGTGCTACGAACACCTAGACTGAGCGAAGATACGAATAAGCTCACTTTTATGTGTGGAATAATGAAGAAGATGGCGAAGAATAAACAAAGAAAGGTGAAGATTGGAAGCTTTATTATGTCCCCGTAAATATAGCAGAAAGTGAGACAGTTCTCTTCCTACAGCTCCTCACCACCTACCCCACCAACCCATACGAAAACTACGCTCCAGATATCGCCTCTTCAACTTAGTAGTATTTATTACACGTCACAACACTAAAGAAATAGTTAAATCATAAACATCAATCTCCAAAACAGCTTACGTTTCGTTTTATTAGGCCATGATATGTTTTTTTAAAACTGAACTTCATCGGCAGTCAAATGTAACTATGGTAATAAAGGTGAAATGACTTCCGACAGAAACGTATCGCTGTAAGAAAAACACCAGACCCTTTGTGAGCGGAAGTTAAAAATGCTTTGCGCTCATAAGCCGGACGCTGCAACTCTGCGAGCGAAGCTGAAGGCCATGTCCAAACTTACAGAAATTAGACGACATTTCGATTTGTTGGCTTATTAAAGCAGATGACACACATAAATATACTAATGCTATGTTTTAAAGGGTTGAAAACCACCATAGTCGTAAACGTGTTAAAAGCTTATTAGTTTATTTAACGATATTTTCCTCAACCATATTCACTTTATAATCTGTAATGGGAGTTCGACTGTGAATAACCAATTGAGAACGATGGGCCTGTGCAGAAGGAAATGGTTGTGGGCTATTTGACGACTATAAATACCCCAAACAAGATAGACAGCCTCCAGGTCAAACCCAGAATCTTCACAATGTGATACAACATGATCAGTCAACCGCCACATTCGGTACAATAACGGAGTTTTCTGAAACAAAAGTCAGAGAATATTTCGTATCCTGTATTCGAAAATGATACCTACATAATATGAAACAGGAGTGCCATGCACTTGCTGAGAGAGGACTGTATTCTCGGACGATGCGCGGTGTAGTAAGGTAAAATTTTACCGAAGTTTCAGAGGTTCCCGCTGCCTCCATTATCAGGGAGACACGTGATCTAGTTAGCAGACACATGAGAAACGCCGTTAAACGTCTACACCACACCACACGGCGCTACATCTCTGACGTCACTTATATTTATAATCGCCACCGTGAGAACCTGAAAACTCACTTCGTGAAACGTATCATAATGATAATTTTTCTGTTGAATTGAACTCAGACAGGATTTACGAATTCGAATTAGACTGGAAGCAAACTTTAAAAAATTCCCATGGCGAGACCTACGGTGGTGCGGAGGGAGGAAACGAGCTTTCTTCATTCTAGGGCAATTTTTACATGACACCAGCAGAAACGTCATTTCGTAGAATATTCAAAGGAACCTACACACCTGATGTGTTGTGGCAGGTAACTGCTGATAACGTAGAATATGGAAGTAAACCCAAGATATGGCAATAACCATGGCAACGCGTTATCAAATCCATATTCGACAACTTTTATCAAAATACTTGGAATCTAACTTAATATAACTCAGCATAAAATACCTAGGACTACGTGAAAAGCTGTAGAATAATCTATTAGGCTTCTTTCAATCAGCCTGGACAAATACAGTTGTAGTGATCATGCCGTACACTGGAAGGCCTACTTAAAGATATGACCCAATTACATTAAATTTCGTTGCAAAATAAACATTTTCTCATTGGAGACGAATAAGGAAGAATACAAAATTTACTGCTCAAGAAATAGATAGCATGGTTACATGAAGAGATAGTAGGGGAGTAACCTATTAATGATAGATTAATAATAGTTGTATCAGAGCTGTTGATCGCAAAAATCGGTGTTGGGCGAAAGCAGTATTTTGTATAAAAAATCAAATGAATGAATTTATTTAAATAAAGTCTTGAAATTGGACGCGGAAACAAGAACTGTATAGTGTATGCACTAAATAATCAATAAAATGTCCAATACACGGGAAACATATTATCTCAATGTTTCTTCTCAAATCCAATTAAAATATCATGAATAAATAATCTGGAACAATGGAGAAATATAGGGCGAGGGCAAAATGTTAAGTTGCGTCAAAGCTGGCCCTGAGCTTAAAAACCGCACCGGGTGATGAATGAGAGAAGGTTTAGCTCCACGCATTCGCAAACAGGGCATTAAATCAATACGAGCGGTCAATTTCATCCTCGTAGCCACTGTAGAGAAAGCTTGGTGGATTCTACAGACGGTCTAGATCACAAAATAAAAGTCTGTGCAATTGCCTTGGGTCACACACCGTTAATCATCGCGTAACCAATCAGGAGATAATGATATGTTTTAAGATATAATTCTAAGATTTGTTTGGAGGGAATACCAAGTGATGCGTCAGTCAAAACGGGTGGTCTCCCAAGCATGAATCGAACCAAGGACTAGTGAACACGAAGCAGCAGTTATCACCTCACGACACTCGGTTTAATTTATTGACTGACTTCCTGTTAAGTAACTACATCTTAATTAAGACATTTTATTATACTGAATAATTCATACTGGGTTATTCGTAATCACATGTCTTTCTTCTTTCGTTTTGACCTTTACGAATTTCTAATGCTTCGTCACGTGACTCCTCATGCCACACAAGGTATAGCGTAGGCATATCAATCTCATTAAGATTTGGTGTGAATTTAAGCCTGTCAGATCAACTACGATACAAGACAGGTCAGTTTAAGTGACTGGCTATGGGATGGTCGACCGGGGTTACATTCCAGGTAAGGGTAAGGGTAAGGATTCTATAGTCAACATTACGTTCAAGCTGGTTTTGAGTCCCACCCGACATCCTAACCAATGGTTACGATGGATAAAGCGACCGGATCACGATTCCGAGGTTTCTGTGACACGCGGAGCGTAACCTCATGGCCTTCAAAATGCCCTGTTTTGCTGTGCTTTGGCAGACGGACAACTGTATCGTTAACCCTTTAATTCGAACGTCAACGAAACAATATTTAAGAATTCAGACCGTACCTCATAGAAAACATAACTCTTCTCCAGAAAAAGTATCAACTGGTTAATGCTAAGGAAATAATCCCTGAGGATGATCGACTTCTAGGTTGCTGCGCCTTGTATTCTGGTAGCAGTTTACAGACGTTTCAGGGGTGCTTGCTGCTTCCATCACGGCATCTGGAGACAACAATCATCTCTGAAACGTCGGCAAACTTCTACACTGCACTATAACCCAGAAGACAGCCATGTTCATACTCGCCGCTCTTCAAAACCTGAAATCTCACGAAACAATCTTTGTTTTCGCTGAGAATTATAAGAAACCCATCAGTACAAAATGCACAATTACTGATTGTTAAAGCAGATGGTATGTATAATTACCAATGGGCTTTAAATGGCCTTCAAAGAAAGTGACTTACAATAAATTATTCTAACTGCAACTAAACTTTATAGTGTGGTTTAAAAGAGCACGATACCATAGCAACAACGCCTACACTTTCACAAGAAGTGGGAGTGTTTGGTCTCTAATAAATCAGCTCCAAAAGAAATCATGTATCTGACACACAAATGTACGAAGCTCCTTGTTGCATGTAGGAACGCTGACACCCCCTCATCGTCACGAAGAGGGGAGGGAGTGCTTACGAAAGAATAAGTGACTCAAGAAAATCTGCCCACGCGTGACTGATCATCCAAAAGACTGGCGATAGGTGATCAAGCACTACACAGGAGTGACGTAAAGAGAACCACGCCCAGGGTTTTGAACCACGGACAATTCTCTCTCGTCAGATTCGTCTAACTATTCCACGTCCCATCACATAAAGTTCTGTGCCTTCCCAGTTGCGAAAGAGTCTCTATGCAAATTTTTACAACGAAACGAAGATTAGTACAAAGCCTACATTTTTCAGATAACAATGGACTATAAGCAGTGTGTTTTAAAGATAATTTACATATCAATATTCATCATAATTATGGTAATTATAACAACAGTAATAGTTACAGATTATGAAGAGGATGAAATAGAAGACACATCGAGGATGAAATGGTGAGATTAAAAATGTATGCAAAATTTTCGTCCGAAAACATGAAGGGAACTTCAAACACCAGATATGGATGGAAATATAATAAGAAAGGAATTTCAAAATAAATCAGTTTCCTATTCAAGCAGTGCAAGGGAACACTTTCCAAGGAAGGCAAATATCGAGAGGATTATCGTTCACCTCCACGTACCATAAACAATTGAGATACAAGAATAATCATTTTACCGCTTGATATCAAAAGTTTATTGTCAGATGTTGGATACCCCTTGTCTCGGACTCTTGATCAGATTATTCCACAGTACCATGCTATGTGTATTAATAGGATCAGGGCAATAAAATTGTATTTGTTTGCATACCTCTCATTTGTTTTGTGACACTAACCAAATTCAACTGCACATATTTAGCACGGATTTATACCTGGCAGATTGCTTAATCAACAGACACAATTATTTATTTCGGCAGAGTTAATTTGACGTAAAATCTGAACGTTATATGCTAATTAAACTATATGCGATTCTAATTAATATATCATGAGGCAACATTTACTATACGGAAATGCTGTAACTCTATCTCAAGACTAACTTCCGCTTCGGAATATCTGTGTAACTCTTGTATGGAACGTTGTCACTACAGTTGCTGCCGTTTGGCTGATCCCCCGCAAAGGTAAACCGAACATTGCAATTTATTGTGCGAAAAACTGTTAAAATGAGAGAATTAAATCAAAAGAAGAGAATAGGTGGAAGAAAGTAAGAGATGAAACATAACAATAGCCTACTAGGGATAGAAAAATAACACCTGAACGATTAAATAACAGCAGGAAACAATCAGTAGAGACAGACCAGAGAATTTGCTGTTACGATATTTATTTAATTATTTACGTATTGAGATATTATCTGTCATTTACTAAAATTTGGTTCAGCTAATAGCATTCATTTTATAATTGTCCAATATTAGTGTTCTGGCGAAACACGACAAGGCAGAGCGCTTCGCTTCGATACAGCCCTGCAGATTTATTTTTGCATGTAATGTTTCAGCAGTTGGCACTTTTTCTCCAAGGCCCCTTACCTTCATTGAGGTGTTTCTTACTTCCCCAGATTAAGTACTGGTTGGAACATTAAAGTACATCACGATTACTTATTTACCGTCCTTCCAATTCATCATTCATCGTTCGTCATCAAATAATTTTGCAGTCACAACGTGTGCAGTTAAGAAACTGCTAATGGATAAAGAAACAAGAATCCGCTATTACTGTGCTTGGCCGACTAAAGACCTTACAAGCAAATTAGCTTACGAGGAAAGAAAGACTTAACAAGATATTTACATGGACGCTTACAAGAATATTCGTGTAAGGGGCATTACTAAAACACTGTGGTTTTACATCCTGCTGACAAGCGTTTCTCGTAACAGCAAAACAGCTGACTGCAGTGCTATGTGAAACCCTAGTGCAAAACACTGCTCATAACTTCTCAACCGCAGAGCGTGGTCTCGGAACAAATCTTTTCATTAGAATGATGTGTACATAAATAATCTACTTCTTGCTACGATGGGGAGAGTCATAATATATTCCACATAATATGCGTTGTGTGCGAAATGTTTGTTGAAGAAAGCTCTTGGATAAAGACAGGACTGAACCAAACTCTTGTTTGTCTGCCCTCTTCAGACAGGACTCTCCGCTGACTTCGCCATAATCAAAACGTACGACCGACCACTTTCTTTGTTGTCAACATACGTGGGCCCTTCACAAAGCTGTCTCTCAGCTGTAACACAGAACAGTGAGAGGAAGAAACCGGCAGCGATGCAAAATAAAAGATACACGTCACCGAGAATCACAAAATTAAGCGGTACAGATGTCTTTCAGGAGGTAGAGACAGGGAAGTGGGCGCATCAACTGCACTAGCAAATAAAATAAATTATAGTTTCAGAATATTTGCGCACTGTAACTTTCCACCAAAAAGAAAGAACGAAACATAAAACAGAAACAGAGACTTGCCATCTTCACAGTCGCCGTGAGAAGCTGAAATCTTACCTGGAAAATTACTACTACATTTACTAAACAACTCTTTGTACTTTAGCAGTGGCCGTGCAGATCCATTTTACACAGATTAGCAAAAATTACTCCTGAAATCGGCAGAAGTGATCGGCATATGCACAAAGCACAATGATTTTTGTCTTTAATTTGACCATCGAAAGGGGGAAAGTCTGATGTCAGATACAAATAAAACTGACCTTTCGTTTACTAGAATCCACTTCATCTTTAGTTCTCGTACTCTGCACCAAGAGGCTCTGGGTTCTGGTAACGGGCTTTCTGGAGTCAAAAACGGAAGCTGCACTGTCTCTCACATCACAGCTGAACACTGGGGTTTCCTCACCACCGGATGGGACGTCTTCACGAAGTGACTGCAGGGAGGCACTCCAAGGCTTCCTTGGTAACCGTTCATTTAGACCTTTCCCGAAACTAAGACTGCGCTTTAACGAACTGCCACCAGAGATCACTAGATTGCTAAGATGTTTTCGGATCGAGAAACTTCGCCGAAGCAGAGGATCTTGCAATGGCGATAGCGTCTCCTTGTCGCTTGCTCCAAGCGATTTCTTTTGTTTGGAACACGCATTTGTTTTGACGTCAGAATCCGGAGGAGGCGTGGTGGCAGAAGATTTCTTCTGCTGGCGACTGTTTTTCTTTGAGGATTTTCGAGAATTTGATGCAGCGTCCATTTGACTGCTGAGCGTCATTTTGTCAACACCACGTGAACAAATCTTCTTAACACATCTACCTAATATCCTGCACTAAAGCGTAATTAAATAATCGTAAGCGGATTTCTACAATTCAATTTTTTTTAAAAAATATCCAAAACAGCACCTTCTATGATCGAAACTTTGTAGTGGAAAAATTATAATAGATAAATTAGTTTCTAATAGTAAAAACAATTTAATTTACTTTCTTCTTCATAAAAATGTTCCATCATGAACATCCGAAGTAATTATATTTAGATAATACTAACGGAATACCCAGCTAATTTGTTTAGTGGATGCAATATCACAGTGAACATTAAAGTACTTTCCTTTTATAATTTCTTCAATGATCACGGACTAAGAAGGATTTCTGCCCGTGATAACGATTTTGAAACACACAAAACCATATCTTCATCCAGGTAATGTCACACGAATACTTTTTTACACAATCAATTTATCGTAGCAGTGTGAGAATATAGGCCTAAATGTTTCACTTGGTTATGTTTCGGGAATTTCGTAAATAATTTATCGGTTGTGTATTCATTCTGAAGTCTCACTGAAGATTTACGCAACAGAGTTATGTTGTACAAAAAAAAAGATAAACATACGTAGTGTCCTTCATAGGTTGATACTTGTAGCAACTGTCTTCCTCACAAACAGTCCATTATCCTCTTTTCACGATGTATGAATGACACTTGCATGCCATAGGTGACGTAAGATAATTATTCGCTATCTGGAATCCTTCCATTGGAACCGAACAGGAGCACAAACGATACCAACATAACAAAGAGTTTTATAGTTATCTTGACCAAACACAGGTGTCGAAATTTATGATAATCAAATGCCGCTGTCACTATAGCACAATTTTATTTCGCACTACGAGGCGTTAAAATTTATTATTCAAATTCCTGGTCCAGTTAGTACTTAGATATGTCACAATTTATGATATCTTAAGCTTTATTTATTCACAATCCACTTTTCTTAGGCTGCAACTTTTTAAAATACGTCTAATATGAACTGCAGCAATTGGATCACTCTAAGCGCTGCCGAGATTATTCCGATTCGACGAAATCAACTTCGTGTCCAAAATCAGCAAACAATTAAAACTCTACGAATATCAATGGACGTTTTCACAAGTTTTGCACTTAGGGTTATTCGAAATTCATGCCTTTACTCTATAACAGGGCATTTTACTTTATTTAGTGTTCTTCATAAAATACGCTCTCCATCAGATTTAATCATCCCAAGTCAGTAATTGGTATTTTCTGATGCGATGTTATTCCGTACCATATGCGGCAATTATCTGACGCCGCACTTCATGCAGCATTATCTCCCATCAACCGAGGGATCTCCAGATTGGGCGGTAATTGAATCACGAACAGGTGGATGAGGCACTAGCGAGAATCACGAGAAACAAACGTTTAAGCGAAAGAATAACAGCAGAAACTGCAAATCCATGCATCCATTATAAGTGTTTCCAGACCCTGATTGGACACCCCAGTTACCGAAATTAATTTTCTACAGTTGGCATTATCATTTAGGCCCTTGTTGGAAAAGACACATATTAAAGCAACCTCTGAAAGCAAGAATACAGAATATCGAATGTTGTTGCAGACTGCGTCGTATAAAAGCATCCAGTCTAGTGTAATATGTCCTTAGCCGATGAAAAACACCTTACAGCGGCATGTTAACTAATGTAAGTGTTTTTCTTGTTATAAGATGCTAATTTGCATTTCCTCGTGTTGCAATATCCTGACTGCCCAACACTTCATGGTCAGATGTTAGCAATGGACCAAGCTAATATCTTACTTTGCAGTATCAGTATTCTATATTAATAAAATAAAAATAAACTGTATACTGCACACAAATATAATTTATCGGACGACACTCCTTGATCTTAAAATATGGGGAGAAAGAATAATTTATTACATTTGACCAGTTGCGAGTGAAGTACATAACATGTCAATAAAGAGAAACATTTGTTAAGAAGACCGGACTTCACTTGAGACCGGGTAAATAAATCTTTTACCGCTACAAGGATTTTTGCTAGCATTCATAATTGTAAAATCTGATAAGCTGTGTATTATGACCACGTACAAATCACGTAACCTGTTCTCCGCACTGATGCTGATTTCTTAGTCTACTGACGCAAGGGTGGCAAGTTTGTAGGAGAACTCTATGCTGACCACGTGTTCACTAAACCATCTTCATGTAATCTGCAGACGAGTGTTCACCCTGATAATGGAGGCAGTAAAAATCTCTGAAACGTCGGTTAAATTATACCAGACTATACGGCTCAACACCCCAAAACACATTCATTTTAATATTCGTCGACGTACAGACCACCAATACGTAATTTCGTCAAAATCCGTAGTGTAGTTGAGACCAACCCTCAATTGTGTGTTCACTTCATGCAATTTATGTATAAAAAAAGACCGTAATTGACGCCATATTGCAATAATTTTGTGATGGTTAAATGATAATCTGGCACAAATGCGAAAGGATTCCACAATCCTTATCACTATCGTAAATGTAGAAGGAACTGATAGGATTCGCTGTCACAAGTGATGTCCTGGCAAAGCAGCGACAATCGTCACGTGACAAGGGCAACAACGAGTTAAACTGTTTTATGTACATAGTCTAGAATGTTATGTCACAAAAATGCTATCAAGATAACAAATATCGATGTTGGTCTTCCGGGTAGCAACGGTGGTATGGGCTTGCAGGTAGATACTAATAATTTAGAGCGACATACTGCCTCCATCTTCAGGGTTAAAGCCCTGTATAAAAGTTTTTAACCAAAGCTTACGGGGATATTATCGGAATAAACATAAACATGTTGAAATGAACACCACATTTTAATGCAAAATACAAAAATAGGATACCAATTGCGACCTAGCATTTCACGTGGGTGTTCATGTTTTTCATTTACTTCGGTATTCGCCTCTTCATAAGATAAGCGTATTTTTAGAATCAAGGACGTTATCTGATATTCGGTTTGTCTAACAGTAGAATCTTATGTTGTGTTACAGCACCCAAATTTGACTTACGTCCTGAAAACATTGATATTTTTTAAAATAAATATAATAAAAGTATATAGATAATTTAGACTGTGGATATATATACACATACATGCTCGCACTCACCCACCTCCCCCCCCCACACATACATACATAACATATAGTACGCAATATGGCGTCTGAGTGTATATAATACACAAAAGTGGCAGTTCAACAGTTCAATGATTAAAAATGTCAGAGTGGAACCACGGTTCCGGAGAATTTGACGTAAATACGTCTATACGGAAAGGAAGTTTATATATTGGCTTTATTCTAAATATTTCCTTTATACCCACTAGTAGGACATTGCTTAATCAACTTGAATTAGTTACGCTTAAGATGGGTCTGTGGTAGGTGAAATATGTTATAGAATTTGTACATTTTAGAGTATCAATATATCGTGAAAACACCATATATATATATATATCTATATCTATATATATATATATATATATATATATACATACACAAGATTTTGATCTAGTAGTGCTACAAAGAGGATTTGACATCAACATTAAGCCAAACGTTTTCTCCATAAATGTGAGAAAGCTTTGATTTTCCTCCTTCTTTAAAACAACGTTAAAATCTCCTGTCAATATTATCGGCATTGTATTAGGATTTTCTGTGTCTCAAATGACTCAAAATAAGTGTCTTACAAATCATCAATAGGTTTGTAGTTACAAATATACAGGGTAACAATTAAAACTTTTTCACCATTGACCATACACTCTGGAGTTCATTATTTAATACTTCTATTATTTTACGTTTTCTGTACTGTCTCATGTATTCTGCGTTATGGAGTCTTTTAGCTTCAATGTAATCCATCTTGTACATAGTATGGCACAACAATAGATTTCTTAATAATTCTTATATAAGATAAGTACCTGTGATATTTTAAAACGTTTTTAACAGCACAAAATTATTTAGTCTACGAGGCACTTCTTCTACAAGCGATTCAAAGCAGAGCTCTTTCAGCAATAACGAAAGCGGATTGTTGACGGCAGTAATGTAACATAACAATGCCGAATAAACAGATGACATTTCCTAGGCAACATAACAATGTATACAAGCTGACCATTGTTGTCAGTCCATATTTACAAATTGTTGATATTTCCTACACATTTTCCTTACCCTTTTTAGCGGAATGACACTGATCCTTCCATATAGACGTATTTACGTCAAAAAAAATACATACTTATTATTCCTATGTGGCCGACAGAACCAAAATACATATTTATGAGAATACATTCTCATGTTAAGTTCAATCAAAATCAGTACCGAATTTAGTCGATTAAAAATGGGACAGGTCTGGTACGACTGACACATCGGATAGGCACAAACAAGATGGCATCATGCGCACAAACGAAGTGACAGATCCACATGTGTATGACTGGTCTTTGAATCAAACGAGGGATAACAATAAAGTGATATATGGTGTATTTATGGAACTGTTTTCTTCCTCGTCTCAACGTGACAAATATCAAACAAAAATAACCCCAGATTGCAGCCTAAATCTCGTAAACACTTCCAACTAAGCAGGTGATAAGGAAATTCCTAACGCAAGGAATGTGTTTGCGTCGCCTGCTAGCAACGTTGTATTGTCGACGTTCTGCTTTGTTTAACGTGCATAACCCGGCCCGGTTAGCGCACACAATCTTATGTTAACTGTCACCGAACGTCGCATACGAGTAGTCAGCACTCGTTCGTATTCTGGAGGTCACGGTTTTAAATCTCGGCCTAGAGATCGACTAATCTGATCGAGATTTTCGACGTTTTAATCAGTGCATCCAGTCAAATGTCGGAATGGAAACTTAAATTAGGACACCACTGTTTCATTCCGTATATACTTTGCAATTCATTATTCACTAAACAGTCACAGATTTAACAGAAGGGTAATAATAATGCACGGACGAAGTTGCACTTTTATTAAAAGATACCCAGAAATTAGTCTTAGGTAACCAAAATAAATTTTCTTATAATAAGTCAGAGGTTTTAATATCAAGAGTACTTACGAGAAAATGGTGAGCCAGAACTAATTAAGGTCATTACAGTCTCCAGTTAAAGTCAACATAGAACTATTTCTTCTATTATTTGGTCCTGTCTACAATGCAAAACGAAAAAAAAATTCACAGATAAGATAAACAGCACATAGACTCTGTTCAGAGGGGCGGGGTATAGCATCCAACCAACAATGAAGTTAAACCCCGAAGGGAGAAGAATAAGCCTGATATCAAAGACGATGCTCCACCTGAACCATCTTCGAATCTAATTTCGAAAATTCTTTCATCACTGAAAAACTGTTCTTCGGCTAGATGACTCATTTTATTAACTCAGTAAAACCATCAAAGAGAAAATAGATAGTGCTTTTAAAGAATTCAGACCCTCTGGAATCGGAACGCAAACACGAGTTATAATTCTCTCCCTTCCAAGACATCATACGCGGACTGCAGCTATTGGACGTGCTGTTTAACAGAACCCTTTGTTCATAATGTGTTGAAGTGATGGAAAATTTACCGCGTGTTAATCCTAAATATTTATAGCCTATAACAGGCAAATAAGTGGGTTCACAATAATATGCGAGAGACCAAAAAGGAAGAATTTCGTTTGCTTTACATTTACATTGTTAAAAACCTGATGTTTAAATTAATTCACAAATGAGACTTCTTGTTTGCATTTTTAACTTCGACCTGATGTTTAAATTAATTCACAAATGTGACTTCTTGTTTACATTTTTAACTTCATAACGACGTTTTAATATAATAATAAAATCATACTCAATAAAAAGTAATAATTTTTAATTTTGTGTAACTTCGCCTTTCAGATATAAGCCGCTTTGAATATTGCATATTTATTTATCGTTGTCAAACTCTAAGATAAAGAAACATTTCGCATGGTCGCCATGTTGTTTATACATTACAGAAAAAAACTAATAAACTGTGCATATTTTTTCGAAGATCTATTACCATACACAATTTTAGGACCCTTAATGTCGATCCCACATTACAGATTCGCATGGACATCATATAAACTTTTATAACATGTTTTTAAGCTTCACATTTGCAATAGATGGTCAACAATACGGCCAAACATTCTAGAGAGTCCATTGAAGGCGACCTTCTATGTTAGGTATAGCGAGGATGCTCAGATACGTACAAAGGCTTACAACTACAAGCAATACTAAGCCAATCCAATCACAGACTGCTGCCAACAAAACATGGCGTCCTATAAATACTCCGATCAGTCAGACAGCGGAACGCTCAAGAGCGACAGCTTACACCACGTTTGCACAGATAATATCGCAACACTCGTTCCTGAAATGAACTTTCTTCCTTCGGCGAAACATATGCTACACATTTTTGGAACAGTCTCCAGGAAATATTTGGGTCTGGGACAGTGATAGGCAACATGCAGCCAGTGAACAGACTGTGGCCCGTCACATAATTTGGGAATGAGCCATAGAAAGGAGCTATCTAAGCTTAAGTGCAAACAATTTCAAAAAGAAATATTTTAATGAAATAAATAATTTTATTGATATATAATTATAAAGTTAAAATAGCGTTATTTTGCAAAGGTACACGTTCCTTTTTGACGAGATATTAAATAAAAATATATAAAAATTACTGAATAACTAAAGTGTTATAAAATTATCAGCGACTTAAAATCAAAACCGTTTGAAAAGTAACAAACAACGTCTTCACAATAAACTAAGTTGGAGAAAAAACAGTTATTGCTATTTTAAAGTAAACACCATCTGTGCTCAAAGTTAAACAGTTTAGCTTCCTGTCCAAGCCATTAATATTTTCTCTTCGGTCTTCCCCAAAGATATGAATGCCCATTAAGGTACGCCGTAATGAACAGATCGCCGATCCCTGATTTAGGAGTAAGAAAGAAACAGGATGGACAAAATTAGGAGACGAGGCGCCTTGCGTAGGCACAGTCGAAGTCCGTTCACAGACAAGACAGACTTCACTTGGCATTATTCACTAAATATTACTATGGTGAACACATAAAGTAAAATTTTAATGAGAGGGACAGATGAGAAATGTGTACAAATTTTAGTTGGAAAACCTAGATACCGAGATGCCCCATTGGAGTATAATATTAAAAACGATATTAAAGAAGTAAGGTGTGGGGGTTTGATTTGAATGGTTCAACATGGAGTCACATGACAGGTTATTGTAAAAAAAGTCGTGTTCCGACTTCAAGAGAAGATGGGAAAGTTCTTAGCCCTATGAGTTACTATCAGTTTAATATAATTCTAATTGATCACGTGAAGTTTTCCTGCGAAAATTCTACTGAATATAGACCCTAGTGGAAATTGTGGCAATCATATGAACTGCACATTTATACTCTAAGTAGTTCGAAATCTGTTTACTCTTCAAAATCCAGTAGCAATTAAATGTACCGCCTCCTTTAACAATCAGTAACTCTGTTTTGTTCTAATGGGTTTCTTATGATACTGCACAACAGAGATCATTTTCTTAACAAGGATTAAAAGGTGGTCTTTGTAATAGATAACAATTGCCCTTGTTCTAATGGGTTTCTTATGATACTGTACAACAGAGATCATTTTCTTAACATGGATGAAAAGTTGGTCTTTGTAATAGATAACAATTGTCATTTCTTTGAAGCACGAAATTAATTCTTAAATATTATTTAGATGAATTTCGGCTTAAAAAAGTTGAGAAATGAATTAAATAAAATCGAGTAATCAATGCTTTTATACAGATAGTTACCATTAATCCTTACACACAACAAAGAACAAACTATCGGGGCAAATTAAGCTTACGAATTTGTAATTTTATCACAAGATTAATGTTCAGATAGCTTGTGTATTGCAATTCATCATTTAGAACATTGTTGGCTCTAAACGAATTTTCTGTACTGCTTCGGAATACCAGACACTGATGACCTTGTACATGATAAACAGCGACTGACTACACGATATTGTGTAACACTGAATGGCTGTAAGGTTCCGATACATTAACACGTTTCATCCTTTAGTTAAAATATCGCCATTATGGCGTACATTCAAGACGACCTAACTGACAAACTTCTATATCATAGACACATAATTCTTGTTAGTGCAAAATGACTTTATAACATTACATTATTGTTGGACTTAAACTTCATACATAATAATTAATCTAATTTCGGTTCCCCCCAATATTAATAACTAATACATATGTATTCAGAAGTTTTCAGCTGTTATTTTTCGGTAAACATATATTTACGAGCTTCAAATTTCTAATTTAACCAAGTACCTTCAGGACGATCACCCCCCCCTCCCCCCCATAAATATTAAAGGGCGTACAAAATTTTGGTCGGAAAAACTGAAGAAAAGAGAAAACTTAAAAAACGTAGACAGACGGGCAGATAATATAAAAACGGAGAAAAAATAAATATAGTGGGTTTGGATCTGAAACGTTTTGGCTAATGACAGAAACCAATGTCGTCCTTTTTACCGCAATCAACTTCGGGCTTCATAAAAAAAGAATGGGAATACCATGGCCAGCTGAGTAACTATCAGCTTTTAAGACGTGAAATTTGGTCGACTGTGTTAGTTTTCGGTAAGAACAGTAACTCACCGCACTGCTGTTTAACGCGGCATAAAATTCTAACAAAGCTGTGCAAAAACAGGGCACACATGAGTCATGACTTTCGTTCCTTAACCATTGACACTGAATATTCTGACTTAGAACATGGCAAAATACCGACCAGAACACAGCGTAACATGACCTACTTTTAGTCTAATAACAGTGCATATGATTCCAATATGTAATTTCGTTTGAGTGCCCACAAATTTTCCACTGTACCTCAACATCAATAAATTACTAACCACCTCGTGCAAGATAAAGCAGCCATGGTCGTTTTAAAATAGCCCTACGCACAGATACGACATATTTATCTACTCGATCTGCCTTTAGCTCCTTTATCATAACTGTGTCCATTGTTCTGCTAAGTTGATAAGAAACTTACACGAGAAAACAACAGCGGGCTGCAAAGAAATGAAACACGGTCTTCCTTTCAAATAAAACTACATTTCTATATGCAAAACAACAGATTCACTACACTTCCACACACCGATAACTCTGATGCAATTAACGAGCACTTTTCTTCACATTTTGCACGAGAGGTAACTCCACACACTTCGCACTCACTGTCTCTCCAACAAACACCAAATGAACTGATACGCAGACCTGTTGCTGCAATACGTCACGTCCCAGATAGCACGACAAACAAACAAACAGAAAACGAAAGAAATTGCCACGGTATTGTACTACAAAAAAAAACTCGCCAGACAATTGAAGTTTTGCGCTGTTTTACAAAATCCAGGTTCAACTGTCACTGAAGACTTGCTTGTACACCCAATCCGAATAGCGGGGCGCTGCTAAGTAGTACAGCTAACAGCTGACGTACCGCACATTAGAATACCTGTGAGCGGAGGGGGGGGGGGAAGGGAGGGCAGATAACGTGGTACAGGATGTTCCATGCATAGACGCTCGGGGTAATACCTCGAGACAGAATTGTCAGCACGGAACGGAGAAGGTTATCGAAGTGGTAACTGTCCAATGTTTCAGCGGAAGCACGATTTTGGGTTGATTATTAGGTGGAGATTTGAGGTTATCACAGCGATCAAAACATGGATTTTGGTGTCGTAGGTTGTAATGCCATGTGGACTTGTACGTAGATACGAACGTTTTGAAGGAACATTCTGTATCCATCTCCAGACAAACCCAGAACACCAACATCAATAATGGGTTATTATCAAAGATGCTTTAATTGCAGGTAAAACATTCCTGAACGATATGAAAATATGGGATGATCATGAATAGTGTGACAGGGATTTTGAAACAGAATGCCATGGTCTATTTTAAGACCGTATTTTATTATCTGAAGATACTGAAGAAAACCATGAAAATTCTAAATATCGACGATAACGGAACCAAGATTCAAACAGAGTGCCTCCAAATTACAAGTCTACGGCTTCGCCGAAACAACATTTGTAGGTACCAGCTTCGAATCCCAGCCGGTGAGGTGTTTATGGTTTTACTCAGTCACACCGGACGAACACTGGGGGCCGCACCTTCATATCGACTACAATAATTTAACCAGTTCCGTGACCACTTTCACATCTCACTGACTACACAACCGAAGAATCTATGAAGCAAGCTCAGTCGAAAGGGGAAAGAATTTATTTGAAAGTTTATTTCCGAGACCAGGATAATCCAATACAGACTGAATTATGGCTACAGAATGCTCCACCAAGAACGCGCCAAGCCGATACCACAAACTATAATTTTGGATCAAGAAGCACCAAAAGCACAAGAGGACTGCTCTGGATATATTTTGGAAAGTTTATTCTTCACACGAATAAAAGAAAGGGTGGAAATAGTAATTCGCTGATTACAACGACAAAGCCATATTTCTGCGCAAAAGGATGACAAGACTAGCACAAATGGAGATTGATCACCATGCTGGGGCCCAACTGAGATATTACTGAGAGCTTATTTTAGCATGAAACCGGCACTGTGGCTTCCACAACGTACCATCTGGACACAATTAGAAGATACCCGGCTACTCAAACAAAAGTCTAAGATTTGCCCATGTCTTAGGTCAGACGATTTGAAACTGAGATTATATCTGACAAATAAAACGCAGTCTGAATGTAAATAAATGGAACTTACCCTTCACAATCGATCAAAGAGTATATCACAATTATCAACTTATTGATAACCTTACGATATAAAATGAAACAACTGAAGGAAATCGGGTGTCGTGAGTTCTTCCTAGAACTTCATTCATTGTCAAGCATGGTCCAACAATTGGCACACGTCTAGCTAAACACCAAGGCCAGTTCAGACTCATAGAGCACGTTTCTGACACAAGAGGTTCCCAAAATAGCAACATCCAGGCTACAGAGTGTTCCTGCAACAAGGTTTCCCCGTTTGAAAACTACAGGACATGCGTATGTGAACACAGGCTAAGGCTCAGACACGAGACCTGAGATTCTCTCAGCGGCGAAAATGTCATTGTCGGTCTTACAAATAGATAACGACGTTTTGAAAAAAGCCTGAATATGCAGGCAGTGTGTTCTGTAAACGCGATGGCAGTTTGTAAGTTAATGCAAAACGAGTTGCCAATTTTGGGTTCATTGTATCAGACAAAGGATGAAGAAAATTCTAGGCCTAGACGCTTAATAAAACTGATTCCTAGTTCCATTAGGCACACGTTTCATAATATATTCTAATTCTTTATATCAGCCTCTAATTTATATATTTCTATTGCAATAAAACCACATCACATGTTCTGTTCGCATTTTTAAAAACTGATACGTTCCATTCAAAAGATAAACAAATTAGACATTCAGTTTCATTTATACACTTTTGTATTTGTTTGATTTCCTGTATCTTTCTGTTGCTCAGAAATAAGGTCAATGTTCATTTGAGAGAGAGAGAAAAAGATCTCATTTCGTGGACATTTATAAAAGTGACAATTCTAGTATCACAATAGAAAAAGTGGAACAATCATACTTCTGGCAACTGTTACTCAGAAATGTCCTGTTTTCATTGTTGATTGTTAACCGTAGCATTGGTGTGCATGAAAACACATAATATGAAAACGTGTACGAGGGATGGAGACAAAACTCTACATATTACCGCCAACATTTTCGTACGTGTAACCTTTATACTAAAAAATAATTTCGAAGTTTCTAAAGCGGAGTTCTCAGTGACTATCTTATATTTTTGTAGGGTTTGTCTCACACTCAGAGACTGTCACCAATGTTTAGCATCACAGCCTTTAAGACAAATGCAGGACGGCGACCGGGAATGACGCGATGTGATCATATGTTGGCTTACACTGGATAAGCAGGGAGATGCAGATATTTGCTTTACCGACGGAGCAATAATATGCCGTCTTGCAAAACAACTGGCTGTCGGTGTGAATCGTGGCTTAACTCCAAGAGAGACTAAACGTGCAAAAATGGTTTAAGTGACGGCACAAGGCCGCCCTTTTTGCAGTTGATGTTGGTTCATGGCCCCCGTATCTGGGGAGGAGGGAAAGATGGAGAAGTGGAAAGGGATTATGCTGTAACAGATCGAAGGCAGGAATCGCACGAGGTTACGACACAATTCCTGTGCACAACGCAATTAGGCAAACGTCTTTCACAGAGTAACGCAGCAACCAAAAACGTCACGTGGATGAGCGGTTTATTTATTGTCTGGTCGAGGACCAACGATTTAACCAGTTCCATGTAGCACAGTCTATCTTAAGAACAGACAGTCGCTCAGATGATCAACAAATACCCAGCCATTTATGGCGTCAGAAGGTTAATTAACATTTTCATAACAGCTTGACACTGGACCTTATCCTGAATCAGAAGAATCAAGTACATATGTCCCCACCGTATTTCTTTAAGATGCATTTTAATATTATTCTCCCATCTGCGCGTAGTTTCTCTCTCATCTGGGGACGGAACAAATGGACCGCCAAAGGCCCAGTTCCGCAGAAACACAGCCTCACTCCAATTTAAATAATAATAATAATAAATTATAGGAACATCATACACTATTTGAAAGACGCTAATGTAAAATATGCCTCACAATAAATCTATATAATACATAACGCGTATTAAAAACAAAATGTATTTCAGAAATAGCTGCTGCACTATGTACCTTAGGGTCAAGGTTTTTCTCAGGTACACAGCAGTAAATACCCTGTAAAATGCTACACAGGTCACTTGTAAACACAGCAACAGAACTTCTGGTTCCACGCAGTGGGCTGAATGCGGTGTAAGTTCAAGAAGCACTCTGATCCATGGAATTAGCATTAATAATATTCGGCTAAAAGACTTATTTTAATTAAAAACAAGTGTTATCGTTGAAAAAATTGGTATTAGGTTCACAACCGCATTTCGACTGGTGAATGTAGGCCATTCATGACCTCGCCCGCCCAGTTCTACGGTTTGTTCCCATATTCTCAGACTAACGAGCTTTCGTAATTAGGCATAAACAGGAGGAAACTGGTAATCTTCAACGCCAGAAGCCATGTTTGCCGTTCAAAACAACAACGTGTTTGGTGACAGGTCACTGGCGATATTAGGGGACACTAGAAATTGTATGAGACTAGATTTTATGATCAATAAATAGTGCAGCAGCCACAAAATATTCCGTTTAAAACGCAACTCTGACGATCTGACGACAAGCCTAATATTATTTATAAGCTTTAGTGTCATTAATGTAAAAAAGACAAACGATTTTTTTTAGTTTTTATTTGTTAGGAAGAACTTAAGAAGAAATTTGTAACAGATGCCCACCACAAAACACTAAGAGACACAAATACTTCATGCGTACTGAAATCCTGTTACCAGTTGATGTATCGTTGTTTTATTTTGTACTTCCTTGTCAGAATACGAATTGCTGAATGCTTCATAAATAGCAGCAAACGATTTCAATGCGATGTTCAAGAACGAGTACACATTCTGCTCGTAAATACAATGTTTGTATTTTGCACAACTTTTACGTCAGCAGCGGCCTAGCAACGGGGGTAATTTTCACTCGAGTGTCACGGGAGGAGGGGGACCTACCTCTGTTTTCAACAGCCTTGAAAATGAGGACAGAGATGGTCCTCGAAACGTCGGCGATTGATCAGCAACTAACACGGCTGATAGCCCAAGAAGACTTTATTAATGATAGACGCCGTGAAAGCTTCACATCATATAAAAGCAACTTTTAAAGTTATTCTGGAAATTATATTACAGCCTTGCAGGTCGTTTTCATTCCAATACCTATCTGTTCATCGACAATGACACCGAAATGAACAAATATTAAGGACGTGGCTGGTCATTATCGTACATTGTACTCCACAATCTTCTACACACTGAGCCGTATAACCATTAGACTATAATTACGAAACGGCATTAGTTTGTTATGTCTGAGACTTCGCGATATAAGTACTAACGAAGATTAATTATTGATTATTACTGTGAAGTTGTTGATAGTTACGCAAACTCTACAGAAAAGAGACACAACCCAGTTTCAGCATTCAGAATGAAGTTAGGAAGGAAAACTACTGTGTTGTAAAATTCAGCGCTAAGAACATTTTTTCAATCGAACACAGTTAAGAAAAATAAATTAGAAAATTAGGTCCATACATAGAGCGTGCTATTGTTTGACTCCTTACTTATTTAACGAAGCTGTTCCAGGAAAAACGACAATATAGTGACGAATGGGATCAGGGGATTCCCTGATGATGGAGCAGAGATGGTCTTCGAAACGTTGGGTTTTCCTGTACAATTGACAAGGCTTTTTTTTCAAGAAGATTTTATCGTATTTTAATTTTCCTCATGCAGTTTGGAAAGAATTTGATTTTAGAAATAAACCA